AAAGTGTTGTTCGAAAAGATAACCCTTGTAGAATACTTATTGTGTTAAATTAATATACCCTCCGTTGAACATATTGTTTCGTCACGAAAAATATTATATAAAAGCTAACTGTGTTCACTCGGATTTTTTCAACTACTTTATCTTAACAAATAGATATAACAATATGAATAATCGTGATCACAACTTCATTTTAAAATAGAAAGAAATAACTTTTAGCTTAATCCGTTGCAATGTATTTTCTATCGAAGCATTGTAACTTTATTTCTAAATTTTGATGATCAATGAAAACTCCAATTTTAGTTAGTACTTTCAAAATATCATCAAAATCAGATTTTACTTATAATACAAAGATAACCTGGCTTCTTAAGAACTGCCTTGTAGCTTCGATAATGTCAATGTACTTCATCACTTTAGAAACACTTTTATTTCTCATTAGTCACTAAAGAAATCGATCTCCCAGGGAAACTATTAAATTGGGTAGTTTTATGGAGAGTATGATCTTTTCTGATTCAACAATTATCGATTTATTACTGAAAATTACGCAAAAACTAACAGTTTTCCAACTATTGATTGTTATGTTTATACTAGGACCAAATATTTTCAATCAACTTCTATGCAGAATTTCGAAAAATATTTCTGACTTTTGTGTAAAATATGCATGTTTTGTAAGTAATTTTTAGGGATTCATCTGAGTTTCAGAAATCATAAGTATTGTTTAACCCTTCGAAGTTTTTTATGGGTCCGATAGGACCCACGACGGTGTTTTTTTCTTTTCGCTACTACAAAAACTATGCTTTTTCGAACGATCTTTTCTCTAATCGTTAGTCTTCTAGTGATGCATAAGAGCGATATCGAATTTCGTGAAAAAGTCCTACAGGAAAAAAATCGAAGGGTGGATCCGTAAGGACCCCTGGAGAACTTTGGTGTCAAATTATTGATTTTTTGTCTTACTACGTCTGCCCTCTGTTGTTTTGAGGTTTTATTCATCCCATATTCGTTAACTGATTTCTGCCAATAGTGACCCTTATCTTTTTGTTCTTACCTAAAGAATTTTGTCGAATTTCAATCGAAATATTTTTCCCGTCGCTTCTGATCGTGACGATTATTTTTTTTTTACTTTGTGAAAAAAACTAAGCTTGAAAACTTCAAAATTTATCTGAATATACAAAATAAAATATTTTCTTGAATTTCAAGATTGAAAATAATGACAACTAAATCGAATCTGAAAAGAATTTGAGAAGTTCTTCTAACAAATCATAATAGTAATGAACCTGATGATGATATTTCTGAGGATGAGAAATTGGAATCTGATTCAGACTATTTGTTTTCTGGAACTGAATCTGATGACACATCCACTGATGAATGTATATCAAAGGAAGACGATTCAACTGACTCTTATGTCAGTGATGATGATGATATAAATAGCAATACTCAACCTGATACGATAGAAAAAGGAGGTGTTACGTGGTCGGCACAAAATAATAAATCTTCTGGCCGTTTTCGTGCTACTAATATATTGAAGAAAAAATCAGGTTCTGTTACAACTGTTCAGACAATATTCGATGTTTTCAAACTCTTCTTTACAAATGATATATTGGATGAAATTGTATTACAAACAAATAAATATGCTAAAAGATATTTTACTGAACAACATTATATGCAATTAAATGCCCGTAATCATCAAACAAAGTTAATCAAATGGAGAGATCTTGATCGTACTAAATTAGAGGCATTTATCGGGTTATTAATTCAAGCTGGTGTTGGTCATAATAATCATGAATCAATTACCGAATTATGGGGCATTAGTAAAAACCGTCCAATATTTCATGCCACAATGCCGTTACGACGCTTCAAACAACTCCCTCAACATTTTATACCAAGTGATAATTTAACTGTCGATGAGCAATTAGTACCATTCCGAGGTCGTTGCTCATTTGTTCAATATATGCCAACGAAACCAGCGAAATATGGAATTAAATTCTGGGTATTATGTGATGCTGATAGTCGATATGTTTTAGCACTAGAATTATACACTGGAAAAGTAGGCAATGTGGTTCAACGGAATCTTGCAACAAATGTTGCTTTACGTTTGATCGACCAATTACCTAACAACGTCAAACAAGGTCGTAATGTTACTTATGATCGATATTTTTCTGATTATTACTTAGCCAAAGCTTTACTTGAACGCAAAATGACTTCACTTGGTGTTGTTGATCATAAACGTGCATTTGTTCCTAATGAATTAAAAGTTGTTCGAAAAGCCTTATACTCTTCTTGATTTTATTTTTCAGGATCAAATACAATCTTATCCTATCAAGCAAAACCAAAGAAACCACCGATAATATTATTATCAACATCGCACAACTTCCTCGAAATATTGGACGGCAAAAAGAAACTTCCTGTTATGATTCATGACTATAATCAAACTAAAGTTGGAGTTGATGTTGTAGATCAATGTATAAATAATTATACAGTTCGTCGAATAAGTCGAAGATGGCCAATGCTTGTATTTTTCAATATGTTTGATATAGCAGCGATTAATGCCATGACAATATGGTTGTGTCAAAATCCAGATTGGCACAGCCGAAAAAATCATATTCGAGGCCTTTTTTTTAGAACAGCTCAGCAAATCATTAGCAAATCTTCATAATGAATTTCGTAGTCAAGAATTCGGTCTTACATCTAAAACCAAACTTGCATTACAATCTCTTGGATTTCTATTAAAACCTAAGGTTGCAATTGTTCAAGAACATGCCAATGGTTTTGTGAATAGAAAAAAACGATGTTATATTTGTCCTACTCATCCGGGTCGAAAAGTTCAACAAGTTTGTGACATGTGCAAACAAAATGTTTGTAAATCTCATTCCACTAGTACCACAACGGTTGTCTGTCAGCCATGTGAAAAGAACTATTCAACAATATAAAATTTGATGTACAAACGAGTGACAGAACTTTGTAGGAACATCGAAAATAGTTTACACGTGATGTTGTTTTTATTGTATT